ATCCATAGTCGAAAAGATTTTCTGCTTGAAACTTTTGGGTGTTTATTGTAATGCAACGTGGCTCAGTATTGATATTTTATTCGGAGGAAATTATATCTCAGAAGAAATTAGTATGCCAGCATGGTTTTACGAGGTTTCTTGATGAAAATAACTAATATAACTCTTGAAAATCTCAAGTCAAAGAATCCAACACAACAATCTTCAGGCCAATATCAGCAGTTTTGAATTTGTACAAGGCTGGAAAGATGAGGATGTGACTGGAAAGCTGAATGTTATGCGATTGAATGAATTTCAGTGAAGAGGATGCACCGTGCACATCGCTGGCAAAAGAGCCGATCGTGTTCTGTGGTCTTCGTTCTGCTGCTTGCATGATTCTGTTCGGTGATGCAGTGCACAATTTCATCGATGGAGTAGCGGTAGGAGCTAGTTTCGCACTTTCTTCACGACTTGGTCTAACAACCAGTATCGCAGTGATATGCCATGAACTACCGCATGAAATNTGGAGGCTTTGGTTGAGATTTTCAAATGTCATATTAGTTGTTTTCGCCTTGATCTTGAAAAATCCCCGATGAACAATGCTGATGGCTTTTAAATTTCTTCCGACTATACATGTGACAATACGCGGGCGTGATATCAATAATTCAGGGAGTCCCTTTGAATCCTGAGTTTTTCTCACTAGTGCATTCTCATTGAAATTCATTTGCCGTTTACTGAACTTCATCGAGTACTCAGACAACGTACGTTAACCGTCATATGTTTTACCCACTTTCATATAGATCTTTCAAACCAACATGGAGATCTATATGCAAGATTCATGGAGAAGATAGTTCTCCGTAAGGCTGGCTGGTAATATTGTCTGTCAATTTACAGAGTGTCAATATAATTTCCCAATATGTTCAGGTGATTTCGCCGTTTTATTGGAAAGTGGTTTGTCAGTGCGTAAAGCGTTATCACTGAACTTGCTGTCGGCTTTAACTGCGTTCGGAGGTCTCTTTGTGGGACTGGCCGCGATCAGTGTTGAGAATGCAGTGGAGTGGTTGCTGGCACTGACCGCAGGAATGTTCCTGTATGTGGCGTGGCTGGATATGGTCAGTGGCTGAGTTCATTTCCGTGCTGCTCATTTCGCTCAAAATCATTTTGCACGCCGCATTCTCAAAATGTCTTCAGTACTTTTCAGATTTTACGCTTAAAATAACGACACCAATTACCATAGTTTGACCTCCTTGGAGATCACGTTCACTGCTCTTGTCTTTTACTGATTTATTATAATTGATCATTTCCAGCTAACATACCAAAATGCCGCATTCAAACTTTCGGAACAGAAGGAAAATTATCATCTGCGAATTGGACTTTCGGTTTTCGGCGTGAAATTC